AAAAACTAGCTGTTGAACTAGATGAACAATCATTGACATATTGTGAACTATTACATTATGTTCAAGTGTTATCTTTAACTCTTCTCAATAAATATCTTGTTGCTCCAGGTGAAATAGTTTGTCAATGTGTTGAGCGAAGTTTGTCCATGGTAAGTTAATTGAGATGAGTAACTATTGAACAGAGTCTGAGATTTATCTTTGGTTAGGTGATTGGTATTATGGGAATCGAGATGACTGGTAGTGTTTATTGTCCATTATCATCTCGAGATCCACAACATCGTTTACATGCTCTCATACAACAAACACAAAGTCGTCTAGTCCTTGTTCATCATTTAACTAAGATCAAATTCGATGATGATATAGTTTCACTTAATATTGATTCAGTATTAAATATTAATGATATAGATAAGAAGGATCTTTCAAGTGCGGTAATGAAAGATGAAGAGATAGCCTATATTATTTTCACTAGTGGTTCAACTGGAACACCCAAAGCGGTTCGTTGACACTTGGTTCTATAATTTCTAATTCGTTCTCATACTCTTTCATAGGTTCAAGTTCGACATAAGAACTTTATTGATTGTATACATTCTTTGGCTTATATTAACTCATTTAATAAAGATGATACAGTTGTACAGATGACACGATGTTCATTTGACATTCATGTTCAAGAAATATTTGGTACATTGTTGATTGGAGGCACGTTGATTATGCTTCATCCAGGTGGAACTATTGATTTCAAGTATTTATCTGAAGTGTTACAAAACAAACAAATCACATATCTACACACTGTTCCAAGTTTATTGTATAGTTTTTTTACTTCTATCCAGCAAAATAACAATCATAATGTCTTGAAACATCTTCGATCACTTTGCAGTAGTGGTGAGTCATTTTCGAATTAATTTAGTTTGCTTATCTGGCGTATTTTTATTGTTGTAGGTGAACCTTTTTCTGTTCCTTTAATTGATTTGATTGTGAAAATCGGCGTAATCAACTATGTTGTATGGAATTTGTATGGTCCAGCTGAAACAACGATAGATTGTACAGTTTATAGTGTGAACGTCAAAAATGATACGCAGAGCATTTCAATTGGTAGACCACTTTCTAATTACCGATGTATAATTATGAATCAATACTTACAATCATCTGTTACCAATCAAGAAGGAGAGTTGTTTGTAGGAGGAGTAGGTGTTTTTGCTAGTTATCTTGGTCGTGATGATCTAACTGCAAAAGCTCTTGTTCAAATAGATGGTCAACTATTTTATCAAACAGGTGATCTTGTTAGAATGGATGGTAATGGTCTCCTTCATTATCAAGGAAGAAAAGATTATCAGGTGAAACTACATGGACAACGAATTGAACTTGGAGAAATCGAACGATGTTTGCTCAACATTACATCCATCTCTGCTTGTGTTGTTATGAAATGGAATGATGATTATTTAGTTGCTTATGTTCAATCTTCTTCTCATAACAATGAAGAAGAACTACGGCAACATTGTCAGTCTCATCTTTCACCACATATGATTCCATCCATATTCATTATACTTGATAAACTACCATTGAATCAAAACGGAAAAGTGGATCAAAAGCAACTCCCTCCTCCCGGCTTTTCTCTATCGACATCGTTATCGTCCAATAAATCTGATACTCCTCTTAATCAGTTCGAAAAACGTATACACACTATTTGGTGTCACGTTCTTCATTCTAATCAAAATAACATTTCTAGAATTATCAGTTTTTTTAGTGTTGGTGGTCATTCACTTTTATTTATTGAACTTTATCATCATTATCAATCAGTATTTAACTTTGATACTCATACAATGTCGATTGCTCCATTTCTTCAACAACCAACTATATTTCAACATTCACAATTACTTCAAACAGTTATAATGAATAATATCAAGACAACACAATGGTGCACATTACATATAAGTGAAGGTAAAAGTGTCTGATAGAAAATCATTTAAATAAGTTCTATTATTTAATTCACAGGTATTGCCTCTTTTGCTCAAGAGCGTATCTTTCTCGATGGACAAGTTCGTTTTTCGAGTGATATTGCTATCTATAATGAATTGTTCACGTTACAAATTGTTCAAGGTTCATTATCACTCAATCGTTTATTACAAGCATTTCGATGTGTTTTGAATAAACATAAAGTATTACGAACATCTCTTCTTTTTAACGATGATGACGGTATTTTGAAACAATGCATCTCACATATACATAAAACATTCACAATAACTATGAATCAAACATTTGAAAATGATAATGAAGTTCGAGATATTATCTATCAAAGAACTATTGATCCTAATCTCTTCGATTTATCAATTGGTCGTGTTTTTCATGCTGAAATTCTGAAACATGAAGTATCATTAAATGCAAGTGAAAATAATAGCAATGGATTCATAATGAATTCTGATATTCTCCTCATTGCTTTTCATCATGCAGCATTTGATCGATCAAGTCTATCGATCTTTTTCAATGATCTATGTTTCGCTTATAATACTAATGCAATATCAATAGAAGATGATGATGAATCATTGCAATATATTGATTATAGTATACATGAACGTCTACTTGATATGACAACATCTCGTGAATTTTGGTATTTACAATTAGAAGAATACAATTTGGAATATCGACTGTTATTACCAGCTGATCGACATCGTTTGTCGAATGATCATCGATCGAGTTCTGCTTGTGTCACTCAAATTTCTTTTGACAACGAGATTTCACAATCATTTCTTGATTATGCTTCTATACATCATGCGACACCATTTCAGTTAGGTCTGAGTGTATTATATGCTTTTCTTTTCAAGTTAAGTCATGGTGAAAATGATTTATGTATTTCGTGTCTTAATGCTAATCGATACAGAACTGAAGTGCAGGATATAATGGGAATGTTTGTTTCGACATTACCATATCGTACTCAACTGGACCCTTATTGTTCATTTGATGAGCTTGTTAAATATGTACGCGAGAAATGTTTATCAATTCTTGAACATGCACATTATCCACTTCAAAATATTCTTGCTAATTTACATATTGATCAACCAAGTATTTCATTTCTTGAAGCAATGTATGACTTTATAACTGTATCGTCACAGAGCGATGAAGTGTCTTTAGAAGGAGCAAGTTTCAAGCAAGTGTCATCTGAACGATCGTATGAAGTGGCTAAGTTTGATTTTATGTTAACATTTATCTATAATCCAGTGTTGGAAAATAATAGATTATCATGTCGTTTAACTTGTTCATATGATTTGTTTGATGAAACTACAGTTAAAAATATCGGTCGAAGATTAGAATATTGTTTTCAACAACTTTTTTCATCGAATGAAACTATCAACCAGATTAATACAGGTTTTACATTTATGTCGAAAATTGATCTTATTCTACCAGAAGAAACTCAAGAAATGGAAGATACTGCCTTTTGTCGACAATCACATATAATAAACGAAGGTATGTTTATCTAGATAACGTTTCCTTAATGAACATTTATATTGATAACGAATACATTAAGCAGAGATCTCACTGGAGATATGCTCCTATATCGTTCGGATCATCCT